CGTTCTCACACCTCTATGCTCCATTGATCATCTAATTCAAAAGTACCCCCCTTACATTGGGGCAAATAAAACCGATGGGTCAAGCCCCAGCAGGACGCAGCAGCCCTGCAGCCTGCGGAGCCCGTGCTGGCCTGTGCCTGGCAGAGAAAAAAAGGAGATCAGGGACTAATTAATCAGTGATTAATTAGCCTAATAAAATTGCTCCTCATTAGGGGGCAAGAGAAGTGGGGCTTCCTGCTGAGCCAATGTTACCCTACAGACACGGCTGGGAAAACCAGGCATGAGCTCTGTGAAAACCGCATCTATTTTTGGACAGAACTGGTGCTTTATTGAGCAATTCTCTCATTTTGCGCTCCTTTTGATGATATTTTATCGATTCTCATCTCTTAGAGATCTCGATCAACACCTTGATCTCTTATTTTCACCATTTTTAGGAGGGGAGTTTGAGGAATGATTTTTCCCTCCCAGCACCTCGTGCTGTGGCTCCTTGTCCTCCTTGTCCCTTCCCGTGGGTTTCCTTCCTCTGGACACAGACCCCCGACCTCCCACCCCTCGGGGCCGTCAGGACGAGTCCCCCCAGCAGTTGTGGGGCTTTGGTTTGGGTACAGGAAGCTCCGAACCCGCTGTTCACACCAGCCCGGAGGGGCAGCGGCGCTTTGGCTTCCTGTCCCTTCCCCCGTGTGACCACTGCGGGTCCCCGGCCCTGAGCGGCGGGACATGGAGGACCAGGACGGCTACACGGCCTTAGAGCAGTGGAGGAAACGAGGGGCTGCGGGGAGCCCCCCGTCCTCCCCGGGGGCAGGTACTGGGGGGGGTCGTGTCCGCTGGGCCCCCCCAGATCGGGGGGGGAAGAGGGACTCGGGGACAGGGGGTGATGTCACCCCTGGGGTCCCCAAGAGCTGCTCAGGGTGGGGAAACTGAGGCAGGAATTGAGGGAGGAGGGGCTGGGGGGGGTTTCTCGGGGCTGTGGTTGGCTGCTGTCCCACCCCCCGAGCTGGGACCCCCCAACAGAGGGAGCAGGGGGATGTTTTGGGGGCACCCAGCTCCTCCTGCTCCTGTGCAGGGGGGCTGCAGGGGTTTGGGGGGGTCTCACCAGGGTGCTTTGCCCCAGGACCCCCTGCCCCGGGCTCTGGGTGGGTGAAGGTGTGACGGGTGCTCTTTTCCACCCCCCAGCTGTAGGATCTGGCTTTCCAGAACCTCGGGGGGTCCCCACCACAGCCCCCCCCCGCCGTCCCCGCTGCCTCCTCGGGGCCCTCACGGCTGCCCTGGCGCTGTCCCTGGTGCTGTGTGGTGAGTTTGGGGGGTGGGAAGGGGCACCCGGACCCCTCTGCCCCTTCCCCCCCCCAGTGCCCCTGACCGGGCTGGGCATCCTCCTGTCCCAGTGTCCTGGTGGGTGGCAGAGAGGGCACAGCCCGAGGCGAGCTCGGGGTGGGGGAACACGTCCCTGAGACCCCCCTGTGCCAGCCTGGACGGCACCTTCAGGGAGCTGAGGAGGATCCTGTGCCCCCGCGAGGTAACCCCCCAGCCCCCGGGGGTCCCATCGATGCCCCCTCCCCAAACTGGAGCCCCCCCCAGTCCCCCACACGGCGCCTCAGCGCGCCGGGGTCCGTCTGTCTGTCCGTCTGTCTGTCTGTCCACAGAGGCCGAGGGATGCAGGCTCTGCCCCGTGGGCTGGATGCTGGGCAGGACCAAGTGCTGCTGGGTCTCGGAGAGGATGAACTCGTGGCACAGGAGCCGGGAGGACTGCGGGGACCGCGGGGCCGCGATGGCGATGCCGTGGGACAAGGACGAGCTGGTGAAGGGACCGAGGGGACAGAGGGGCTGGAGGCACCCCAGGGGAGGGCGAAGGGCTCCCCAGAAGCCTGGGATCACACCCCTCATTCCCAAATTCCCCGCGGTGCCCGTGGCAGACCGGGGGGGAGTGCCATGGGTCTGGCTCGGTCCCGGGGTGAGGACGGAGCCTATTTTGGGGTGACCATCCCCGGCCCGGCAGCGCCACCACTGCCCCTTTCCCCGGGCCAGGATTCCCTCAACGAGACCCTGAGGAAACCCACGCGGCACTTCTGGATCGGGCTCTCGGTGCCCGCGCCCGGGATGGGCTGGACGTGGGTGAACGGCTCCCGCCCGGACTGGAGCCGGTGAGGAGCGCTGGGGGGGTCGGGGTGGGCACCCCCCTGTCCCCCGAGGGCCCCCCGGGGGTGACACGGGCCCCCTCCCGCACCCGCAGGTTCCTGCAGGACCTCGGGGAGGGTCGCGGAGCCTGCGGGGCGCTCAAGGGGGACAGGATCGACCCCCGCGCCTGCGACACGGGGCTGCAGTGGGTCTGCCAGACGGAGTCCGCCCGGATCTGAGCCTCCACCGCACCCAAAACCCACCGTTAATGCGGGAGAAAATCCCGATTCCCGCGGGTTCGGCACCCACCGGCAGCTCCCGAGGCACGGGCAGAACTGCGGCCGGGGAAAGTCGCCCTGGGATGGGCGAGGCGAGGGCGGCGGGGTGCGAGGGAGGAGGAGAAATCGAACTACGAAAAGAATAAAAACTAAAAATAACTTGTAAAATTCACTTTGCGGGGGAGCCGGTTGCGAACAACCCCCCGATTCCCACCTCCCACCGGTGCCGCTGTTTCGGCCACCCCCCGTGTGGGTCTTTTATTGCCTTCTCTCTCTTTTTTTCCGTTCACGCCCCCCATCTCCCCGCCCCGGGGCGGCCCTTTCGCTGCCACCGCCCCTCGCCCGCCCCTCGTCGCAGCTCTTCAGGGCCAGGGGGTGGGTCCTACGAGCCAAGGCAGGGTCTGTCCCTCGGGGCAGGTCCTCCAGCACCGCCGCGGCTCTGCTGTTGCGTTTAATTCTATTCTCTGTATATTTTATTCGCAGCTCCCACCCCGCTCGGCGCAGCCCTTCTGGCCACCCCCGAGAGCTCCCGTTCAGTGACACCGGGCGGGGGGACCCCTCGGTGCAGCCTTTTGTTCTATTTTACTCTATTTCCTGTCTTTTATTCTGTTCCCATACTCGCTGCGGCTCTTTTGGACCCCTCGGTGCAGCGATTTTAACTCCCCCGCGGAGCCAAGAAATGCCGGGAAACAGTTTCCACGGACGGAAGGAGCTTTTCGTAAAGTTTTTATCTCGTGACCTTATTCTCTTATTAATTAGCACCCAACCCCAAATTTGCCGGGTGTCTCTCTCCTTCTCGTGCTGATCGGTCGCAGCTGCAGTTCTTCTCTCCGCTGGACTCTGGGGTGGTCAACGAGTCGGTGGTCGCCACCTCCCACTGCTGGAATGACCTTCTTCCCAGTTATGGCTCGGTCGGCCTGACTTCCCTCCTGTGCCTCCGGGCAGGGAACGGCCACGAGCCTGGTGGGGACCTCCCCGGCACCCGCGGACGTTCCCTCGGGCCTTTCCCCGCCCGCAGCTCCCCCGCAGCTCCCCCGCAGCTCCCGCTCCCTCGGGACGTTTCCCCTCGTGGGCAGCGAGGGGCGCTGGGGGGTCCCTACGAACCCCCCTCCCTTTAAGATCCCGTTCAAGTCCGACCTTTCTGTCACTCAAGGAGACGCGGGGAGGTGACAAGAGCTTCGTCCCGACCGGCTTTGCCTCGGGGTGCAGCCACTTCCCTTGTGCTTTCCCTGCCAGAAGCCGAGCCACATTAACAAACAGGGACACACAAATGGGCTCAGTGCCAGCGCTGGGTGCCCCTGGGGCTCCAAACTGCCGGGGTAGGAGCCGCTGGGCACAATCCTGAGCAGCCTCTCGGGCGCTGGTTCTTCCCCTTGGGAGGCTGAGCCCGTTCTGCAGCTGCCCTGGGCCAGCAGCGTCCAGGCAATGGCACCCCCATGTCACGACAGGGCCACGACAGGGAGCTTGTCTGCAGGTGTTTTTTTTTTTCAACCCAATAAAACAACAACAACAAAAAAAAACTATGAAAAAACCCGAATTCCAGTTCCCTGCCTGCAGTTTCCCGTACATTTGCAGTTTGAAGTTCGTGTGTTTTCTTATTTCCTCTTAACACCACGATGGATTTAGAAAAAACTGGTTTTAGTCATTGATCCATTCCTTTCTTGTGCCCACAAGAACTACTGGTGAGTGACCTCTCCCTGATCCCTCAGCACGACTTTAGAGCCTTTCTTCAATTAAACACTTCCCCCTGATAATGAAAGGCTGTATAAAAAAGTCATAAATATAGTTAGGACAATACTTGTGGTTGGGTGCATTTTGGTCCATCTTTTCTGGTATCATTTAAAGTGCAGGGCCCCCATCCCAGCCATGTGGGACCCCTTCAGCCAAAAACCTCCCCCCGGGTTTCTCAGATGTCACGATGGTGGTTGTAAATCTCCAACAGCTTCTCATTTCTTCTGGCTCTGAACTGTGCAGCTTTCACGAGGTGACAGTTTGGAATAATTCTGTCCCCTGCCCGGGTGAGGAGGGGGGTGACAGAGCAGCATCTGGCACCAACCAGGGCCAGCCCATCACAGATCCCTTGGTTGAGAACTCTTAAATATTTGTAAGTAAGCAAGGTGCAAAAAATGGACTTTGTTCCTTCAAAAATGAGCCACACTGAGAGTTGTTGGAGAACAGCAAAACAGCCAAAGAGCTGTAAACTGAAAACCACACCTCTGTGGTTGACTCTCATCCTGTCTGTGGCTCAACAGACTCAGTTCCGAGAAATCATCCACCCGTTAGCAGCTGCCCTGCGAGGTGAGTACTCCAGAGCAGCTCCTGGGCTGCCAAACTCGGGGTGGTGGGTGCTCCCTGCCCACAGTGAGCCACGGCTGGGACAGGGCTGAGCCCCCACATCATGGTCTTGTCTCTGGGGGGGCTGCAATGACCACCTGATTAATTAAACGTGGCACGTTGAAGGGGAAGGGGGGAATAAACGCCAAAAGTCACAGTTTTACAGCTGGGTTTGGTGAGGCTTTTGCTGCCATGGGGTTGGTTTGAGTGTCTGCTGCGGAATTGTGCTGGTTTGTCATTTTTGCTGCTCCTTCAGTGATTTTGTTGGATTTTTTCAGCCCCTTGTTGCTGACAGAGTTGCTTCTCGGGAAAAGAAATGAGAAAATCGTGGTGAAAAGAGGTAAATAATGATATAAAAAGGACTTTAATTTGTTTCAGTTGAGTGGAATGAACAGTGATTTTGGGGGGAGCTGGAGCGAACCAGCTGGAAACCAGGGTGGGCTTGGGAGGGATTGAACCTGGGCAGGAGCTCGGGCTGCACCAGGGGGGGTCTCACAATGTGAACCTTTGGGGGTCTTTTTAGGGGAATTTGTTGAATTTGTACAGTCAACACTGGGAGGCAGAAATTAGTCATCATAAAGGAGCAAACATGTCAGTGGGACTGGGTGAATCAGTAACTGCACTGGGTCTCTTTTAGCTTCAAATTGACACTTCAGTTTTGCAAATACCAAAACCTTCACCAGTCCACTGGTTTCTGGCTCAGAATTGGGTTTGGGAGGGATTAAACCTGGCCAGGAGCTCGGGCTGCCCCAGGGGGGGTCTTACAATGTGAACCTTTGGGGGTCTTTTTAAGAGAATTTGTTGAATTTGTTCAGTTGACACTGGGAGGCAGAAGTTAAAGTAGGACTGAAATTTTGGCTTGAAATGAGGGGTCTGAACCTGTGCACGTGGACTTCTGCCAAGTCACAAGATATGACTTCCTTTAATTTCTGAGCTTTGTCCTGTTCAGCTTTGGAAACCTTGAGGGTGCGGAAGCACCACCCTCTTCTGGCTCATCCTGTTTTTGCTCCTTTCTCCTACCAATTTAACCCTCCCACTGCTCTGGAAACGCTGCATCTGAGCATTCCTTGAGTTTCCTCCTGCAAATCCCCTCTGAGGGAACGGCTTTGTGCTTTTTTCACATCTGTTTACCCACAATCAAACCTTTGCAGCTTTCAGAGCTCACTTTGGCAATGAAATATCGCTGTTTTATCAGGACACGTTCCTGTTGAGCTTCTGTTGGTACGTTTGCTGCTGATAACTTAACACAAGACCCAAGAGGACCAAAAGCTGCTGCCCCTGTTGGTTGGGGGTGCAGGGAACTAAGTCGTGCTCCTGCAACAGTGGGCACGGGGAGGGGAAACCAGAGCCGGGTTTCCTGTGAGCAAAACAAGCTTGTGGGGAGCCACAAACAAAAAACCCGAGCAGAAGAGATGCTGTGAACTGTTACAGGCTACTTTCCATCCTGTGTGTTTTTGCAAAAGGGCCCCCAAAGCACAAATTCTGCTCCAAGCCCTGGTGCCTTTTCCTCCGTTTTGGCAGCAGTTCCTGAGCCCTGAACAGGCTCCTGTCCCCTGCAAACACTTCAGCTGCCTTTGACCTGTGAGCTCTCAATGGCTTATTTATTTAATAAAGTGTTTTTAAACTTGTCTTTCTCTTTCCTTTCTCCTTAATTTGTTGGGGTTGTTTTTTTCCTCCTTAATCTTTTGTCCCTCCTTTCTCTTTCCCTTCCTTATCTTTTCCCCTCCCCTCCCTCTGTCCTTTTGTGCCACCTCCTCTCCCAGATGTGTGTTCAGCCCTGCCAGATTGTGCTCTTGGCACCACGACAACGCTGAGAGCCAGTGCCAGCCCCACAGGGGCTGTTGTGGCTGGCTGGGCTGGGGCCCAGGAGGTCTCAGCTCCCTACAGGTCCCCTCAGCCTCTCCTCTCCTTCCACCCCAGGCTGCCGAGTGCATCCACCCCACAGAGCCCAGGGAACGTCAGCCCCGGGCCCTGAGACTTCTCTGCAAAGATGGGGAAAGAAATCCAAAAGCCAAATTCTTCAATCCAGGAAGAAACACTGAACACTTACAGCCATCCAGAGAAACAGTGCAAATGGAGTAATGCTGGGAAAACCCCAAACATTCCGAGGGAGGGCGGGGTGTGGGAAGAGCATCTCGCTCCGGGGCAGCACCAGTGGGATGGGGATGGAGCCTTTGGGTGGGTGTGGAGCAGCCCAGGCACTGAACTCCAGGCTGTGGAATTCACCTCTGGAGGCTGAAGATCCATCTCCAGGCCCTCAAACACACCTTGGTGGCTCTGAAGGACTTCTGAGCCCCCAGAGGGGTCCCTGGATGGGCCTGGGTGGGGCTTGGGATGGAGTGAGGGTCCAGCACAGGAGGGCAAAGCAGAGGGGAGAGGAGCCAGGCCATCCTCACCCTGCTCTTTCCTGCCTCAGGGTCCTACAGAACCAAGTTAGACCGGAGAACATCCCTCAAGGTGTGTGTTCTCACTCAGAGTGTGCTCCTGGGGATCCTCAGCTTGAGCCTGCTTGTGGCAGTGACTGGTGAGTCCCACCCAGACATCCCCATGGGGAGGATCCAGGCCAGGCACCTCCGTTCTGGGAGATGGGAGGATCCCAGGACCTTCTTGGCATCAAGGGAGGCTCCCAAAGTGGGTGACTCCCCTTTTTCTCTGCACTTTGGTCCAGGCACCTGCTCCTCACTCGGTCACAACATTCCTTTTCCCAAGACAATCATCCCCCAATCTCCTCTGCTAGAAAAAAAACCCCAAGGAATCAACCCCATTTTGCTGCTTTTCAGGGCTGCCCACGTGTCTGACTCAGCTTTCTGTGTTTCAGTTCTCGGTGTGAGACCCCCTTTCTCTGAGCCGGAATTCTCCCACGTGTGCCCAGACAACTGGCCTGGTTTCCAAGGAAAATGTTATTATTTTTCTGAGCCTGAGGGCAACTGGACCACAGGCCGGGAAAGGTGTGAGGCCCTGGGAGCTTCACTGGCCACCATAAGCACAAGGGCTGAACTGGTGAGGACTGGGATGAACTGGTGAGGACTGGGATGAACTGGTGAGGACTGGGCTTGAGCCTCTGCAGCAGCACTGGGGTGGGAAACACAGGGAAAACAAGAGGATAAATCAGCCCCAAACCCCCCAGGCTGGCCCCAAAGTGCTGCCAGTGCTGGAGCTGGGAGCCAAGCCCTTGGGAAAAGCCCCAGGCCTGGCTGGGGGTGGACACAGGAGGGAAAGAGAAGGTGGGGAAGGCAAGACTGGCCAAAGCCAACGTTTCTTTGCCTTCCAGGCCTTCCTTCTGTGTAGTGGATTGGTTAGAAATGCGAGGACATATGAACATGGCTAAGGCTATGGATGAGCTGCTAAAGTATAAGACGCAGTCTGACTAGGCCCATGAGAAAGTCTGAGATAGCAGGGCCATGAGAAAGCGGCAGTGTCCTTGGGTATCCTAAATTGAGCTGAGAAACAGAGCTAGGCATTACCAAAACAAAGGCACTTAACGAGCCACCTGTGTAAACAATGGGAAGCAGTTAAGATGATATCACCACCTAACCGGGTACCAATAATGAACCTGATTTCTGTAATATTCATGAACCTATTATAGAGTGTATATTAAGCTACTGTCAATCTACAATAAAGGAAGTTCCTGGATTCTCATATTGAGGTGTCTAGAGCTTTCCGTCGCGACTTTATTCTGGCGCCCGTGGACAGGGACCAAGTGGGGGTCCCTAGGAGGTCAAGTCGGATCTCCTGGGTTGGAGTCAAGTCGGACTCCCGAGAGCCAAGTCGGGTTCTCGCAGCCGTGGTCGGACGTAGGAGTTTCGGTCGGTCTTGCTGTGCAGCACAAGAAGGCGAAAGGGCTGGACGAAAAAGAGCTCAACTTGCCGCTGCCGGACGCCTCCCTTTCGGGGATTTCGGATGGCGAAAGAGTTAAGTTCCGTGCTTCCAGGGCCCGGCGCCCGGGACGACTCCTGAAGAAGGAGGCCCGCCGACAAAGCCGCAAAGTCTCGTGGAAAGGGCTGCACAAAGCGTGGTAACACGTTTTTATTTTTAGGTAATAGAGGGACAGGCGGCACTATCATTGCTCCAATGCTTTCTGGGAAAGCGGGGAGTTAAGACGAACTGGCTTTGTGGCAGATGCTGCTTTCATGTAAGGGCCAGGGATATGAAGCGAACACTGTAACTGCCTTTACTATCTCTACTTGGAAAGAACTTAGTGATAAACTCTTTACTGCTGCCTGTAAGGGAGAAAAAGTTGCTGCTTCCCTCCTTACAATTTGGCGATTGTTATCTGGAACAGTCAAAGGCATTAAAGCACAGTCTGAGGACATTAGGATGCTACTGGATACCATCATACGGAGAAATCGTGTAAAAAGGGAGTCGAGCGGAGTTGAAGGGAGCCGGAGCGGGACCAGAGATCACGGAACGGGGCCGGAAACAACGGAGCGGCCCCGCCAACATGAACGCGGTGCCAGCGTCTCGGCAGTGCATATCCAGGACGATCGGAGACGACAGCTGCGGCGTGAAAGTACTGCTGATGGACCAGAGATGAACTTTACGAACACTATGACTGAGTTCCACCTTAAGACACTTCCAGCTTTTCATCTGAACTGTGCAGCGGGACTGCGCTGCACATTTGTGGCTGCGTTCATGGCGCTGGGTGCTTGCGCCGGGCAGCAGGGCAGTAGCGGTGGTCGCGCTGCCTGCGTGTCCCCGGCTCGGAGCGCTCCCGGGTGACGCAGAGCCGGGGGCCGGTGATATCGCTCGGAGCGGTGCGCGGCCCCGGCTCGGAGCGCTCCCGGACGCCGCAGAGCCGGGGCCGGTGAAACGGCTCGGAGCAGTGCGCCCGCGCGTGCACGCCGGCGGCCCCGGGCGCGGGCGGGCGGCGGGGGGGCTCTGTGTCCCCCGCACTGCTGACAGCCATGGTCCCGGGGGGTGTGCGTTCCCCTTCCCTTCTTTGCAGCGAGTGGTTTTTCCCTGGTGTTGCTCCTCTTCCTAGAGCGGCGAGTTAATGACGGTAGCAAAAACATTGGGGGGTGCAGTCGGGGAAGGGGGAAAGCTGTTTCTCTTTTTCCCCGTTACACCAATCACCCCTTCTCTGAAACGTGCCTGTTTGCAGCTGTTCTCTCCCTCTCCTATGTTTTTGTCTTTTCTTAAGCAGACCCTGTGATTAAGTTCCTTCTGCTGATCTCTCTGGGTGAGCCCAGCCCCTCCTTCCCCTCCTTCGTCCTTCGGCAATGAGGAGCGTGGGGGGAGGCAAAGACGGTAAAACACGGAAAAAAGGGAAAAGAGAAAAAACAACTTAAAATTAACAATATCCCAACTTATAAATCAAATAAGATTGCATTGTTTTTACAGCAATAGGTGTTAAGCATGCAGTGTGCTCATGGCACTCTCAAATGTTTTCTTCAAAAACAGAAAGGGAGACTGACGAAAAATCCTTTGAAGTAAGATTAGAAATAACGCGACATCCGTGCTTAGCTTTTGCATATTGCAGAAGGTTGTTAAGAATTTCCTATAGTTTGCCATTTTGCTTCTCTTACATGAAATTTGGCTGTTTCCCCCAGGGGCAGGGTGCAGGTAGAAGATTTGGAGACGGAACGATGAGACAGAAGGGGATATAGTCTTCCCCCTGCAAAAGTAGCTTTATTGCCTTTATGATAAAATATCATTGCTCTATAAGAAGCGTTGAAGATTTCCAAGATAATATTCTGTTCTTTCTTGCTGTATTTGTCTTTTACATGGAGAGTTATGCAGGATTTGCAGATTGCTGATGGCGGCTATGCCATAAATTTCCTTTGAATTATGAAACTGACAAGAAGTGCACAGCCAATGACCACTTGAAAATGTGTGTGTGATTGAGGAGTGTGTCTGAGGTGGCCACCTGAATGTTGTGTGAAAGAAAAAAGCTACATGAATGTGTGAATGTGTAAACTTAAAAATACTTTCTGCCGGTGTCAAGATTTTAGAGATGTGTAACGTGATTCTGTTGAACCATAGTGATTCCTTATTCTGAATGGGCTCTAAGTTATACAATGGATATTGACAGTTATTGTAATCTTAGTAATAGCTCGTGTTGCCTTTTCTTGTATTACTAGACGTCTAAATACTACGACAAAGAAAGCATTGTTGGCACGAAATAAAAACGGGGGAAATTGTAGTGGATTGGTTAGAAATGCGAGGACATATGAACATGGCTAAGGCTATGGATGAGCTGCTAAAGTATAAGACGCAGTCTGACTAGGCCCATGAGAAAGTCTGAGATAGCAGGGCCATGAGAAAGCGGCAGTGTCCTTGGGTATCCTAAATTGAGCTGAGAAACAGAGCTAGGCATTACCAAAACAAAGGCACTTAACGAGCCACCTGTGTAAACAGTGGGAAGCAGTTAAGATGATATCACCACCTAACTGAGCACCAATAATGAGCCTGATTTCTGTAATATTCATGAACCTATTATAGAGTGTATATTAAGCTACTGTCAATCTACAATAAAGGAAGTTCCTGGATTCTCATATTGAGGTGTCTAGAGCTTTCCGTCGCGACGTTACTTCTGCGCTATAAAGGCGAAGCAAACCACTGGATCGGGCTGGGAATGAGGGATAAGGGCTGGGAGTGGATCAATGGCACGACCTTGAACGGCAGGTGGGTCCCTGTGTCCGTGCTGGAGCCCCGGGGTGGGCCCCAGGGATTTCCTGGAGTCTGGGATGCCCCATCCTGGGATGGGCACCTTCTCCTGCCCGGTGTCCAGGCAGCTCCTGGCTTTCCATGGGGGGTTGGGATGGGCCGAGGTCGCTGCCCCCCAACCCTGATCAGAGAATTGGAGAGCCCCCCAGCCCAAGCCCTTCTCTACCAGAGAGGAAATCCCAGCTCTTCCTAATTTTTGGGGGGAGTTTCCTTCTTTTTATTTTCCCTTTCTCACTCTGGTCCCATTGGCATTTGCAGGTTTGAGGTGAGGGGTGGAGGACCCTGTGGGTACCTGAACTATGGGTGGATCAGCTCGTCCCTGTGCCACACGGAGAAGAACTGGATCTGCAGCCGCCCCAATGACTATGTCCTGTGGAAGGGGAAATTAAGAGACCCCAAAACAGGAGTTTCACCCTAGATCTCCAGCCAGATGAGGGAGCTTCACCCCAGCACTGCAACTGGAACTGCTGGGGGAACATCTCAGTTGTCTGGCCGGGAAATTTTCACTGAATATCTCAAAAATATCTTGTATCAGAAAGCACCTCACAAGGATCATGGAGTCCAACCCTCAGCCCTGCCCAGGCCCATCCCCAGGAGTCACCCCCTGTTCCCCAGAGGATCATCCAAACCCTCCTGGAGCTCTGGCAGGTTTGGGGCTGTGCCCACTGCCCCGGGGAGCCTGGGCAGTGCCAACCAGCCTCTGGGGGAAGAACCTTTTCCTGGAATCCAACCTGACCCTGCCCTGGCACAGCTCCAGCCCTTCCCTGGGGTTGGCATCCAGAGGGACCTCGAAAGGTCCTCCAGCAAAGCCTTGGACACTGTCTCCCAGGGCACATTCCTGGAAAAGCTGCAGCCCATGGCCTGGACAAGGTTGCACAGGAAAGCAGGGATGGAGCCGCTTGGCTTATTGTTATCTGTAGTAATATAAAAGCATAAAAATAACTCTTAAGTATCAGGAACCAACATTATATGACCCTGAGAGAATCTCAAGGGGAGCTCAGCAACTTTAATGTAGACATGGTGAGATGTATCCATGTGTGTGTGAAATTGCTTGGGAGTATTTTTCTCCTGCTCTGTAAATGCTTAATTAAAAAGTAGATATAGAGAAAAGTCACTAACAGGAATTTACTGCTTATGTAACAGGGTGCATAAACCATGAAAAAATTGTAATAAAATTTTTTTTTGTACCACACGAGGTCCGTGCCCGAGTGTGTCAGGTGGAGGCATCATCCAGCTTCCCAACTGTGGGCGAGGAGAGCTGGAAAGGGGCTTTTTGGCAAACCCACTTGTGGTCACTGGCACAGATATCAAGATCCAAGCTCTTGCCTTTCAGGGTCCCACACCCTTTATCCAGCTCCGGCAGGTCCCCAAACCTGCACGACAAAGGGTTTATTGGCTGAGAGGAGCAAAAAGTGTCCCAGTCCTGCCGCAAAGGAGACAAAGGGGTGTTTCTCTTGCCCTTTTCCTGCACCGTTTCCCGCTGGAGGTTCCCGTCTGTGAGGGCGGTCAGTGCAGTGCAACCTCCCATCGCCTTTGTCGGCGACGTTTTCGCGTCCACCTCGTCCCCGCCTTCGTCGGCGATGTCACGGGCCCGTCGGAATAAAACGCTCCGGTGGCCAAGAAATCGAGGCGGCGGCGGCGAGCGCGTGTTCGAGGTGCAGGTGGGAGCGCCGGGGCTCGGGGAGCGGGAGGGGGCGAAAAGGGGGGTCTGGAGGGTTCGCCCTGCCCTGGGTGGTGGATGTCGGCGGTGCTGGGAGGGGGCTCTGGCAGGCACTGGGGGTGAAGTGTTTGGAGCGGCCGCCCCCGGTGGCTCTCACCGGGTCTCAGCGCCGGCCCCGCGCAGCCCGATCGCTCACCGCGCCGCATCGGCCGCGGGGTCGGGGAGGGAGGACCGGGGGGAGCCACCGACCGGGCCGGCGGGGCTGTCTCTGTACCCAACCGTGCGCCCCCGTCGGGGATCGTCCCGGTTCCTCCCGGTCGGGCAGAGTTGGCTGCCCCGTCCCCGGGAGTGTTCCCGGCCAGGTGGGACCGGGCTTGGAGCCACCGGGGCTGCTGCGAGGTGTCCGGGGCAGCGGGGGGATGGCATGGGCTTGAAAGTCCCTCCCGTCCCAAACCATTCTTGGATTGAATGACAGATGCGATCCTGCCATCCCGGGGCTGGAGCCACCGCGCTGCTGCTTTTCTTTCCGGTCCTTCGCACAGTTTACAAGCAGTGACTCTTTCATCAGCGCTCAGTGCCCCAGAGCTCCAAACTTGCCGGGCAGGAGCCCCTGGGCACAATCCCCCTCTCTGGACTGTTCTCTATGTATTCTCTACAGTCTGACACAGTGCTCCTGTTAAATCTGCACTCAAAGAGGTTTTTTTTCACCCCCAGCGATGCCTCAGGTTCAAGTTGTGACTTTTCCCTCTTCTAACTTTGCAGTGATTCAAGATATGGAGAGTGGAAGCAACTGGAATGGTAGGAATGCAGAGGAGTCCCTGAGTCTCCGGGACAGAACAGAAAAAAGGAATATACACAAAATGATTCTCAGGAAATGTCAGGGTGAGTGCAGGGCCACCTGTGTCCTGCAGGGAGGGGACAGAGTTGCCCCACCAGGGCAGGGCTGGCAAGTGTGAGGCTGCTCCAGGTGTCTGCAAGAGGCTTCTCGCCCCTGTCAGTGGCTGGTGCCGACACTTCTGGCTGCTCTGGCTTTGGCTGGGGGGATGTGAGGGCTGGGCCTGCTCAGGACAGCTCCATCCTCATGGCCAGTGGCTCTTTCCAGCTCTAGGCAATTGGTTCAGATCCTGCCGAGGGCTGACTGTGCTCCTGGTGCTGTCTGTGCTCCTGAACGTGGCTTTTGTGGTGGATAAGATTGTGCTGGCAGGTGAGGAAGGAGCAGCTGCCTCAGCACAGAGGCAGCTCTGGGCACAGGGCTGGGCTCCCTGCTCCCTGTGGAGGGGAATCCTCTGACCTTCTCCCTTTCTCTCTCCAGGAAAAAGTCACAGAGAGATTCCAGTTACACCTAAGGATCCATGCTCTGTGCCTTCTCTTGAGGCCTGGGATCAGCACAACAGCATCTGTTACTACCTCCTGAAGGATGAGAGGACCTGGGAGCAGGCTCAGAATCGGTGCTCCAAGCTCGGGGCCTCCCTGGCCATGCTCAGTGACGAGGAGATGGTGAGTGAGGGGCTCTGGGGGGTGTGGATGGCAGAGGGGAGGCTGGGGGGGGTTTCTGGCCCGGGGCAGCTCTCACTGCCCGCTCCTCTCTCCCTCCCAGGACCACCTGCTCTCTCCCTCCCAGGACCACATCTTCCACCTCAATGGCAACCTGGATTACTGGCTCGGGCTGCGGAGACGGGGCGAGCGGCTGCAGTGGGTGGATGGCAGCAGCTACAACTCCTCGTGAGTCCCGGGGGGACGGGCAGGGGATGGGGGGGATGAGGCTGCTGGGACTGTCCCTCCTGGGCAGCGCTTGTCTCCTCATCTGCTGGGGGGAATGGGCAGAGACGACCTGTCCTGTTAACAGCCCTGCCCTGTAACAGTGCTGTCTCTGCTCCTCATTGCAGGCTGGAGGTCCTTGGCAATTCAGAGTGTGTGTACCTGGCGGACTGTACTCAGGAGCGAGGACTGTTCAAAGCAGCTGCCGTACCTCTGCAGCAAACCCCAAACTCCCTCATCTGTAATAGAAGTGAGGGAGAAAGGACCTTCTCCATCCTGAAGACTCACAGCTTTCCTTTTTCCACTAGCCCAGGGATGTCCTTCTGCAGGTGAACATTTGCTTTGTGACACATCTCAGCACAACCTCAGGAACCTCGGTGCCTTTTGTCATTGTCACCTCAGTAACTGGTCTCAAGGAGGTGAACCTGCAGGGACATGATGTGGAAGTGGATGTGTGCCTTCGTGGACTAGGGGTTTCTTTCTCCAGTTTTCCTAATTTTCTATGACTATATGTTTACACCTTAACGATGCAGATGCATAACACTACGTGTGCATATGAAGTATTCATCTGCTGCTCAACACTACACGAATCTGTGAATGTGAATGTACAATGTCCTGATTGTGGTCTCAGCAGAGTTACTGTATCAGTGCTGCCGCTCTGCTTCTCTCTCCTTCTCCTTTTTTACCCATTTATATTAAAGTTTGTACGACCCCACCGCTGTCCCTCGTGTCCTGGTCGGGGCGGGAGCTGCGGGGGCCGCTCGCCCCATGCGGGTGGGGAAAGGTCGGAGGGAACACCCGCGGGTGCCGGGTTGGCCCTGTTCATCCTGAGGGAGCCAAGATGGCGGAACACCCTCACAGAACCTCCCTCACAGTCACCCTCACAGAATCACCCTCACAGAGGCGCCATCACAGAGTCGCCCTCACAGAACCACACTCACAGAGTCACCCTCAAGGAACTGCCCTTACAGAACTGCCCTCAGAGGCGCCCTCACAGAGTCATCCTCACAGAACCGCCCTCACAGAACCGCCCTCAGAGAACTGCCCTCACAGAGTCACCCTTACAGAATCCCCTTCACAGAAACGCCCTCACAGAACTGCCCTCACAGAATCACTCTCACAGAGTAACCCTCACAGTCGCCCTCACAGAATTGCCCTCACAGAATCTCCCTCACAGAACCGCCAATTCCACCCGTTGGTGACACCCATTGAGGACGGGGCTAAATGGCTCTTTGAGCCGTCACTCCCATGGGGTGGGTTTAGAGCGAAGACACCGAAGGGGCGGGTGTTGGAATATGTGTGTTTATTTTAGGACAGTTTGGTTGCAAAGGAAAGCAGGGATGGAGCTGCTTGGCTTATTATTATCTACAGTAATATAAAAGCATAAAAATAACACTTAAGTGTAGGGACCGAGATTATGTGACTCTGGGAGAAACTTAAGGGGAACTTGCAAGATAAATGCAGATGTGGTGATAAATCCGTGTGTGTGTGAAATTGCTTGGGAGTATTTTTCTCCTGTGCAGAGAATGTTTAACTAAAAAGTAGATATAGAGAAAAGTCACTAACAGGAATTTACTGCTGATGTAATGAGGTGGATAAACCATGAAAAAATTGTAATAAATTTTTTTTTTGTACCACACGAGGTCCGTGCCCGAGTGTGTCAGGTGGAGGCATCATCCAGCTTCCCAACCATGGGCGAGGAGAGCTGGAAAGGGGCTTTTTGGCAAACCCACGTGTGGTCACTGGCACAGCCATCAACCTCCAAGTTCTTGCCTTTCAGGGTCCCACAGAACCCTTTGTCCGGCTCCTGCAGGACCCCAAACCTACACGATGAAGGGTTTATTGGCTGAGAGGAGCAAAGTGTCCCATGACCCCAATGTGCCTCATAACCAACCCCAACATGCCCCATAACCAACCCCAACATGCCCCATAACCAACCCCAACATGCCCCATGACCCCAGTGTGTCCCATGACCCCGACTCTTGGTCTGCAGAGTGCTGCCAGAGGAATAAGAGACCCTTGCATGGCCCCCAGCGATGTGTGGACGTGGATCGGGGTCTCAAATGGACCAAAGCAGCTTTTTACCCCCCCAGACCTCGGACACTCACCTGTGGGGGTCGTAGGGGGTGTCATCCACCCACGTCCACTCCTTCTGCCGCGACCTCAACCCGACCCACACCGACCACGAGATCCTACTTGTGACACTCTCGACGTTCTCCTGGGACATGGAAGGGACCGGTTGCTCCAAAAAAATCTCTCCATGTGGAGTTCCGTGGGGTGCAAAGCCACAGAACAAACCTGACCGCCAAAACCCATGGGACATGAGCGGCCCCATGCTCTGAACCCGAAACCCTCCTGCTACTGGGAGCATTTTGCTCCCCTGCCCCCCTCCCTAAAAACCCAGGACTTCTGGGTCCTTTCTAAGCCTTCTCCTTCCTGTTTACCATTTCTGTCTCGTTCTTGAGCACCACCAGCTCGGAGCCCTGATCTTCGCAGCTTTTCCTGCCCCGAGTCCAGTTCCCCGATTCCTTGGAGAGCCAGTAGCATCTCTCCCCACGGAGCTGCCAGTCCTGGGGGCACAGCTTGCAGCCAGCAGGGGCTGGAGAGGAGGAAAGGCCATGAATGAGACACCCCAAAGGTGAGCAAGGTCTTCCCTGTCCCCCCCAAATGAAAGGCACCAAACCCTCGAGTCATTTCCCACCCTTGTGGTTTTTCTGCTCTGCCACCATGGAGGAGGAGGAGGAGGGAGAGGAGGGGGGAGAAGAGGAGGAGGAAGAAGTTGGGTGACCATGAGGGCAGAGCAAGTGGTTGGGGTGCAGGAAGGGTGGTGAGAAACATCCCCCCTTGGGCTGACCATGCTCCTCCGGGGAGGTGGGACCGCCAAAAATCGCACGGAAAAGAGAATTCTTCCTTAAAAATGCTCCTTTTTGCCAAAGAACCCTCAGTGCAGGGTCTCCTCGCAGGAGGAGCCCCCCGAGGTCCCACCTGAGCCTCTCCCAGCAGAACCATGTGGGAAGGGGGCTCACCTGGGGGGCTCTGCCCCTGGGGCTGGCAGAAGTACCACAACAGGGATGGGAAGATGCATTGCTCCCTCTGGTTCCTGGCCTGGCTCTCAACTCTGGTGTCACTTTCAGGACCTGGAGATCCCTGAAAAACTGGGAGCAAAGACGTGGGAATGAGAAGCTGAAGCCAAGCCACAAACCCCACAGAGACAGGGCGGGTTTTGCCCCGCAGTTAATGAAGTTGGTCCAAAGCCCATGGGTCTTGCCCTCCTCCCTTGTTCATGAGGATGCTCCAGGTGTGCCCAGAGGGGGGTTTGCTCTTGGCTCTCGTGTCTGCACCAACCCTCCAGGGCCTGAACCGCTGCAACAAACCCAGATTTCCGCTCCCAGACCTCTCATCGCCAGGATGTGAGATGGAGATAAGAGCTGGTTACTCACCACTCACATTTCGGAGCACCACCAGCACCAGCAGGACGAGGTGCCCCAGAGCCCCGGCTGTGAGGAGGACTCTGTGCCACCACGGGCATGGGGCAGGAGCTGGAAGAGGCCACAATTAAGCTTAAAAATTGTAAAAAAACATGAAGATTGGCGGTTTAGAGGAAAAACAAAACCAAACCCCTCTGCTGAGCTGTGAGTTGGAGCAGAAGTTTCTGGTTGCTTTGCTTCCTCCAAAGCCATAAATCCCCCCTGACAGGGCTCGAGCCAGGGCAGCACCCCTGGGGGGGTTGGGGGGCTCAGGGGGTGCAGCAGCCTCGGGAGCAGCCTCGAGGACCCAGTGACAGAGGGTAGGACCTGGGAACTCCCAAAGGGGCTCAGTTTCCAGCTGGGAGTTGGTGGCCACGGGTCCCTCCAGCCCTCGACACCTCCGGGGTCCGAACGGGGCTCGGCCCCTTCCCTGCCCTCCCAGGGGTGGTGGCTCCCCTGGGGCTTCCTGGGATCCCCTTTTGGCCACCCAGTGAAGGGTCTGGGAAACAAAACTGTTCCAGTTCTGGAGATTTTCCAGCCTCTCCTGTCCCTGTCCCGCTCCAGACAAGCCCAGACCCCATTTCAAAGGCCACCCCATGAGCTTGGAAACCTGAACGTGGGGATGGAGAAGCAAAGGGACCCCAAAGGTAACGGACCCAAAACTCTTCCCAGGGCCTGAAATAAGCCTTTTTTCCCCCAAAATACACTCACCAGGACATTTCTCAGCTGGAGAAGGCCCATTCCCAGGATTTCTTAGATCGGCATGACCCATTTCCCCAGCCATGGTGGCTCTGGAGGTCGTTGGCATGTCCCGAGAGTGACACCAGCCTCGGACACCTTCTCACCTCGTGACCAACGCGCGTCCGGTCCCAGGAAATGGCACCAACCAGGCCTTTTATGTTTCTTTGGGGTTTTTTTTAAACATATCTCTATATTCTGCAGCCTCCCCTGTGCCTGGGGAAAGGGTTTGGGTGTCCCCAGCCAGGAGGAGGAGGAGGGCGCTCACCTGGAGGTGCAGGAACACACACAGGGTTGGGCCGAATGGCAGAAAATTATTAAATTAATCAAATTAATTTATTAAATCAACTCAAAAAGCCTCTGATTGAGGTTTTTAGGGGGTGAGACTAAAACGTGACAGGTGATATTTGGTGTTGCTTCCCCAAGAAGCATCTCCCAGGGGAGTGGGGGTGGCAAAAAGGCTGGAGCCATGGGAGTGTCAGAACCAGGCAGGGCAGGAGGAGCTGACTCCCCCTGGTCATTTAGGGTTTTTTTTCCCCACTTGTCTGACACCCCCTCGTCCCTCTCAGCTCCATCGGTCAGGACACGGTCCCGTTCTGGGGGGGTAGAGCCGCTCCTGGGGGGCACCAGGGGGACAGAGTTCGGGTAGAAAATCCAAAAATCTGTTTTGCCCAGTTTGGGAAGAACAGAACAAACAGAAGTGAGGTGGGACCCCCCAGCAGCCCTTGTGTGCTGTGTCCCCCCGAAGCCCTCCCTGGGGTGCTGGGGGGTGACTGGGCACACTGGGAGCACTGGGAAGGGGCTCAGCCCCACCTCACCCCCGGGAGCTCCAAGGCTCCAAGAGCCGCGATGGAACGTGCTCGGGTGGAGCCGGGGAATGAGTGAGGCTGTCGGGGCTAGATGGGGCACACGAGACGGCGGGGAAGGCAATAAACAGTAAAATGGTGAGGAAAGATAAAGCCCGTGGCGGTGGGGAAGGCAGGCAGACCAGCTCGGTGGCGGCCGAGGAAGGCAGGCAGACCCGCGACTCACACTGTATCGGGGAGGGGTTACTTTATCAGGGAAAAAGGTCTGAGATATACAGACACGAAAAACGGACACCGTTGCTAGTTCAACAAAAAACCCCAATATTTATTACAAAAAGGTGGCCAAGAAAATGAACAAACCCAAAAAGGGAGGAACGAGGAGAGGAATAAGCCCCCAGCGCGACCTCCCCAGTCACCCAGCTGTTGCCTATAAAGGTCTCTTACCGGCCTAACATACCTATAATTACCCAGAGAAGAAGTGGCATCCTCGGAGAGTCAGTAAGTTAACAAGCTGGCAAGCGTCCTCGCCAAAAGGCAACGTTGTCCTTGAAGTAAAGCTAGCTCCCTGCAAGAAAGCACTGTCTGCTTTTTAAACAATTAATTGAGAGACCACAACCTCCCAGGTGTGGCCAGCACCGCCCCGTCAGGGGTTCCCAATCCCACCCCCTTGGTTATGTCAGTGCCCCCCTCCTGTGCATGGGTGAGCACTTTGGAAATCCCCCCACGCAGGCGCAGTGAGTCCTGGGGGTCTTTCCCAATTGAGTCTGGGGGCAAGCCTTCCTCACCTCATCATCACTTTCTCCTCCAAATGCCCTTGACGAGCCATTAACCAATCACAGGAGACCAATTAAAACAGTTTATACAGAAGTTCTCCCTCCAAGGGCAAATTCAGTGTTTTATCAGTGAACTTGGCAGGAAGAACTATAAACTACTGCAGGTGGCTAAGGCCAAACACAGACCAAAAATATCATCACAACTCCATCCTAGTACATGCCACCGCGTGGTCTGTGGTTGGACCATGGCACAGGTGAGAGTTTCCCACAGTGAAAGTCCAGACAATATTATCTTGATAATCATGTCCATCTCCAGGAAGGAGGTCCAAGTGGGATTCAGTAATCAGCTGCTGGAAGTCAACAGTCCTTTGGACAAGCATTCTCCGGTTGGCAGATGTCATTCCCAGACAGATGAACAGGTGTGGTCCCTTATATGGGCTTAGACAACACAGTGAAGCTCCGGGCTTCCTACACACTGTAGCTTAAACCACTGAACAATTTTTATACTTTCAGTTCATCTTTTATAGTATGAAGTGGTTGACTGCCAGCCACAATTTCTTACAGGCCTATCAGGAGCCATCACAGGCACTGTATGCCTGGAGTTTGATTCAACACCAGACACCATTCCGGTTTAACCAAAAGCTCCTACAGATAATTTGCACCCTCTGTGCAGGTTCGAGGCCTCATCAGGGGCAAATCATCCTGCCATAGCTTGCCCCTGACTGCAGTCAATCCCCTCCACCTCATGGAGTGATAGTGCAGGTATCTCTTGCCTCCATGCTATAAAAGTAACTATTTCTGCACCTAACTAGAATGTTACTAGTTCATCACAAGAAAATTGCAGGCATGATGCGAGCCAGAGCCCATAGGGAGGTCCACAAACATCAGTCCTTCCTTTGCAGTCTTGCCAACCAGCCTTTTAACATAAGACTTTTCTTCTGCGAGGCCCAGCACCTCACCCATGGTTCTTTCATGATCACATATGTTCTTGTGTAGACTCGTAAGCCAACGGGTTTATGTCATTTGTGGATTCCAAGTAATTCTTGCCACCTGCTGTAACACTACTGGGACAAAACAGATACAAATATGAGCACTGCAAAACAATGTCTGATCTTCACAAACATCACCAGTGTGACATGAACAGCACAGAAACGGATCACTCTATGCAGTGATGACCATTAGGCTTCAGGATGTTACAAGTTCTACAGTTTTCCATTGTCTTCTTTCCCCCCTTAATGACATGTCTGCCTCATCCCAGGAGGCAAAACCAAGCAAAATTGCAGACACTCTGCATACAGCAATCACATATTACCTTCACATCCTAAAGCCAGGGCTTAGCCTTAACCTTTAACACTGCTGCCAGAATAACTTGACAGCACACCGGTCAGGAATAGTATTCCAATCCTGATTGTTGCGTACCAGTAATACCAAACAAAGCATAACTATCTATTTTGTCATTCAAGATCCATGGCCTGCACTGAATAGGCTAATGCAGGAGTAGTCATGTCTGTAACCACTGTATCTTCCTGGACCCTGGCCAGACTCACTGAGAACCACAAATGATAAACAAGGACCACCTGACAGACATTGTGCATTACACGAATCACAACATCAGGTGTGGACAATAAGACACACAACAGACAGGTACACAATAACTGAATCATTACACCAGTTAGTAAGAGTTAGTAGACACAAATGAATCATGTTTAGGATATGTTTCCTTCCATGTAATAGTCGGGCTGGTCTTGTGCTGCGCAGCATTCACTGATCTCTGTCCAGAATTCTTGCTCATGATAAGCTTTCATCAAACATGCTGGAAGTCAGCGGGGTCCTGTGGGAGACAAAACACAAACAACCCCCCCCTTCCCATACTAACAACTTAATATCTACTTGAGGTGTCTGTTTGTGACCCCAACTCACACCTGCCCACCGCGTGAACTAAATGGCCACCGCGTGAACCGAAAATTACCACCACGTGAACCTAAATTAACATGGCTTTTAAACTTTCAGGAACCTAAACCCACAATGACTTTGAGGCTGGCAGCTGCTGTCTCACTGCCCCCACCAGGGCCATAAAACCCCATATCCACTAGCACCCTCAGGGGACAGAGTATTAACCTGTTCCACGCAGGTTAATTCAGAAGAGCATAACATACAGAGAGTCACAGCAACTAATTTTTATCAACAATCGTGAAAACAAAGCTCAGCTAATTCTCTAATTGACTTCTCTGTACAAAGCTTGTTCCTATAAATCCAACCTTCCCAGAAGGTACAGTTGGGTCTGGAAGAGGCCCTGCTGCTCTGCACCCTCAGAGGAGAAACCAGCTCCTGGGGGCTGCTGGATTCCATGGATTAGATGCTATTAGCCATGCCAACTTGACAAACATAACCATAAACTCCCTAAACAGGGCTTTCAACACAATAAGATCCCAAACATAGGCACAAATTAATCAATCAATGCTAAGTTCCAACTTTTTTTTTTTTCCTCTCCTCGTCAAATTCAATACTATTCTTAACCTTCTTCTCTAAATTTGACTATAACGTGTGCGAAGGCATCCAATTGCCCATGTGCACCCAGCACCTGGTGCTTGCTGGCCTAAATCTCAAAACACACTATATAAACAATTTTCCCTTTTCTAAAGTTACCAAAACCAAAAGTTATCTCCCTGCTACCTCAGCTGCTGAGGCTGCAGCTCTCCCTCTGCCCAGGGAGGGGAAGAGAAAAGGAGCTGCTTTTACTCTTCTTTTTTTTCCTCTTCTTGACTCACTACAGCTGCAAACTGCCACCTCCCCCGCCTCCGAAAAGGAGGGGGTAAAAAGCGGCCGAGAAAAGGAAAAAAAAGTCAGTATCTCTTTTTTTCCCTCTGCCCGCTGCAGTTTGCTGCTGGGCTCCTGTCAGCCCCCCTGTGCGAACTCCCAGTAAATTCAGTTAGAACACATCCTGGCGTGGCCCCGGGACGGAAAATGCCTGCCCCCCCTCCCCCGAGTTCTGGGCCTAAGAACCCATCCTGGCATGGAACCGGGGGGAAAGCCTGACCCCCCCCGGATCCCGGGCTTAAACACAGACCAGCGTGGCCCCAGGGAACTTTTACTTCTTCAGGTCCCGGTTTTAAAAACAGCCCGGCGCGTCCCCAGGGAAATGCTCCTTCCATGGGTCCCGGTTTTAAATACTGCCCGGCGCGTCCCTGGGGAAATGCTCCCTCCATGGGTCCCGGTTTTAAATACTGCCCGGCGCGTCCCCGGGGAAATGCCCCTTCCCCAGGTCCCGATTTTGCATACAGCCCAGCGCATCCCCAGGGAACTCCTACTGCCCCGGGTCCCGGTTTTTCGGCAAGCCCCCATCCGGCGTGGCCCTGCAGGAAATCCTTTCCTGACAGGTCCCGGATTTCTCAACAAGTATCCCAGAGCGCAGTGCAGCTCCACAGGGAAAAAACCTCTTCCCCCGGCAGCCCCAGAGACAGCAGCCC